CTGGGTCGAGGCCTAAGCATGCCCTAAGCCTAAGCCTAAGCCTAAGCGTAAGCCTAAGCCTAAGCCTAAGCCTAAGCATAAGCCTAAGTCCAAGCCTAAGCCAAAGCCTAAGCCTAAGCCGAAGCCCAAGCCTAGGCTAAGGCTTGCCTAAGCTTAAGCCTAAGCCTAAGCCTCAGCTCCCCACTCACCTAAAAGCAATCTGTGCTACGGTAATGCAGCGGAAGATCCGCTGCTGGGTCGCGCTCGAATCCGGGCACTTCGCCGACGCCATGTCGCTGAAAATATGGATTTTTAAGGGCTTCCCGATCAGCTAAGCTTAAGCATGAGCCGAAGCCGAAGCCTATCCCAGGCCCCTACCTGCGCTTTATCGCCAGAAAATGGCCAGAGCCCGGGGAAGCTCCTCACCGAGACGGCGTCCTCGCACAACGAGTAGGTGCCCTGAAAATTTGGATTGCATCAAAGTCGTGTGCAAGCTTGTTTTAAAGGAGTCAGCAAGCTACGAATCCACAGAACCAGTCCAAAAAAACCAAATTTTTGTTATTTTTAAGAAGGAAAAAATGACGATGTTTCGATGCAGCATTCACGAATTTGGCAATGAGTTTGAACGTCAGATTGATTTGAATGGGTCCGGAACGGCATAAAAGCATAGTTTTTCGCAAAAAAAAAATCGAAAAGAATAGTATTCACACTTCTAAGGGTCGAACAAACCAAAAATCAGCTTCTAAGGGGAGCGCGACAGCTCAAAAAACGGCGCTTTACATAATAAGGCGTGAATAGTACCTCAGCTGGGCCAAAAAATATCTAAAATTCTAGATGTAACTCAAAATAAAGCTTCTAAGGCTTAACTATCAACCAATCAATCAATAAGTACCTCCATCTTTTTATAAAAAATGCAAAAATGATTTATCCGGCCCGGGGAAAGAGACCGTAGGGGTTGATGGGGGGCAAAGGGGTCGGCGGCGGTTGATTAGAGGAAACTGGGATTGTGGGTCAACGGCGAGAAAGTTCCGCCACGATCCCCTTAACGAGAGGGAGAGAGAAGAGAGGGCAGAGAGGGAGAGAGATATCCGGAGGAATATCAGTGCTACCGGGCACAGCCAATCACGAAATATGCACTGGAGCTGGCGTAGCTGATCGCTCGCTCTCTCTCTCGCTCTCTCTCCCTCTCTCGCTCTCAAGCTCTCTCTTTCTATCGCTTTCAAAGCCTGCAATTTCGCCTACCTTCTTCTCACGCCTCAAACGTAGAAGTGGACTGAATAGACGACGGAAAGCGCGCACAAAAATCGACCGCTTCTTCGGCTCGACGATGCTGAAAATCAAGGTTTCCTGTCACGCTCCCTTTAGAATGATTTTGTGGGGCTTTTGACCCAAACATTGTAATGTAGATTGAAATTAGAGTGACTTCCACGTCCCTTTAAAGGTGTTAGATGAGCCGGAGGGAAAAGGAGGACCATTCTTTCGAAATAGTCTAGATTACATTTTTCTTCCAATCCTTGAAAGCGCAAAAAATTGAAAATAACAAGCAGGGATTCTTTAGCAACCCAGAAAACAAAGAAAGCTTCAGCAACGCTCACTTTCCGTTCTCGTCCAACTGGGCGGGCTCCGATGCCTTCGGTTTCTTCTTGTTCAACTTCTGCTCCTTCTCCTTCTCCGCGCGGCGCTTCTTAACGGATTTGACGGTCCGCTTGGCGGGCACTGGCTCGTCGCCCACTTCCTCGAAAACCTCGGGCTCGCGGCTGGCGGCGCTGGTTGGCTCCTAAAGGGGTGGTTTCAAGGGCTTGTGAAAGCTACCTCACGCCTAAGCTTAAGCAGTCTAAGCAGCCTAAGCCGAAGCCTAAGCCTAAGCCCATACCTAAGCCAAAGCCTAAGCCTAAGCCAAAGCCAAAGCCTAGTCAAAGCCTAAGCCTAAGAATAAGTTAAAACCTAAGCCTATGCCCAAGTCTAAGCCTAGGCCCAAGCCCAAGCCTATGCCAAAGCCTAAGCCTAAACATAACGATTTTCACAAGAATGTAAAGTAAAAATCCACAAGGTAGAGACGACGGATGGGCAGACTAGCAGAGATTCTTTGAGCAAGAGCTTCATAAAAAGAATTACCTGTTCTAACTGGTTCATACCCCCGCGGGGAGCACGTTTTAGCAAATTAGCGACGCCGGTCGTGATTCTAAGACGAATTGAGAGGTTGGTGCTCCAGAGGGGGTACGGATAGGATGGGAATGGTGCGCGACTTGTCCCTCTCTTTCTCGCTCTCTCTCTCTCTCTCTCTTTCTCTTTCTCTCTCTCCCGCCCACGACAAGGTCACCGGCACCAATATGGAATAGATATCATCTCCCGCTATCTGCATGTAAGTCTGCCCAACCAGGCGGTATATATGTACCCTATCCGATCGGCTGAACACTTTAAAGGTACCGGGAAGGCAAAATGTTCTGATGTGTTCTGTCGTCATCCCTTTAAAGACAAAAAAATGACTGTCTCAGTATAAAAAAAAACGCTTAAAGGTGTGTTTTTTATGTCACTGTCTCTCTAAAACGTTTTTAACCTATCGTGAAGCCAGAAAAAAACGCTTCGAAAAGAATTCGAAGGGGCACGAAGGGCAAAAACTGGCAAATATAGCCTCTCTCTGTCTTTCTCTTGCTAGCTCTCTCTCTCTCTCCCTCTCTCTGTCTCTCTCTCTTTATCTTGTGCTCTGTTTATCTCACTCTCTCGCTCAGTCATTCTCCCTTTCTCCCTCTCCTCTCCAATTTTTCTGTCGCACTCCCTTTAAACCCTCATTTTCCCTTGCCCCATCGGAAAACTGGAAAAATCGACGATCCCAGATTCCAGACAAAAAACTATCGATGCCGCCCTCTTTCAGAGTACACCCCCGGAATGTGCACTTCCTTGAGCATCATCCGCTTCCGGGGAGCCGCCGGACTGGGTTACGGTAATCGAGAAACTGGGCGGAACCCGTTTTACGACCCTCTCGAAAGTTGCGAATGGCCTATTTATTCTTGGCTGAGGCGGACTCATCATTCACTTTCCCTTTAGAATGGCTAGCGGTTGGGGGTTGAACCGCTGAACCGCAGATTGATGGAAGGGGGTTCGAGAGGGTCGGGAAATTAGGGCACGGATCTTTGCAGCTATGTATCTCTCTCGGTCTCTCTTTCTCTCTCTCTCTCTCTCGCTCTATCTCTTTCTGTCTCTCCCTATTTATCTCTCGTTATTACGCTTTCTCTTTCTAGCCCTCTCGCCCTCCATCTCTCCCGCACTCACTCTCACGCTTCTCACTCGCACTCTCTCTCTCTATTTCTGTCTCCGCTCTCTTTCTCTCTTGCTGTCTCTCGTAGACTCTAAAGAACTCTCTCACTCTAGCTCCACCTCTCTGTACCTCTCTCTCTATCTCTCTCTCTCGTACGCTCTCTCTCTCTTTCTCTCACACACTCTATCGTGCTCGCTCTCTCTCTCTCCCTCTCGCTTTTTCTGGCTCTCTCTTAGGTGAATATTACACATTTATTAATTATCGCTATAAGTCCAAAAAACAATATGGTCCATATCACAAATATTTGGCACAAATGTTGAGGCATGCGGAATACGGTGGAATGCTGGGATGAGGAGGGAAAGACAAAAAAGCTGCCTTAAAAATTAAATTAATTTAAATTACAACACTTTCCATTTCTATACACGTATTTCTCAAGGGTGGGTGGAAGGGCTGGCGAATAAATTAACGAATCGTAATTCGTACTGAAATTCAGAAAATCGGGGATATCGAAAAATTCAGCGAAATTGCGTGTTTATTGACGGTGGACGAGCTTTCTCCTCTTGCGGAGACGGCGCTTCCGCTTCCGCAAGGTCATGTATTCCGGGGCGGCCACGTGGGCCGGGGCCTCATTTGCATAGCCTGATGGGGAGGAGTCGGTGGGGGAGGCGGATGGGGAGGAGGCTAAAATCAGTGGTGTAATCTGGGTAATTCCGCAAGAATCTCTGCTAGGATGCCCTTTCCTAAAGAATCTCTGCTAGCCTGCCCTTTCCTAAAGAATCTCTGCTAGCCTGCCCTTTCCTAAAGGATCTCTGCTAGCCTGCCCTTTCCTAAAGAATCTCTGCTAGCCTGCCCTTTCCTAAAGGATCTCTGCTAGCCTGCCCTTTCCTAAAGAATCTCTGCTAGCCTGCCCTTTCCTAAAGGATCTCTGCTAGCCTGCCCTTTCCTAAAGGATCTCTGCTAGCTTGCCCTTTCCTAAGAAATCTCTGCTAGTTCGCCTTGCGGACGCTATATCGACTCCAGCTCCAAAGTCCATAGTCACTGCTAGCTTGCCCAAAACGCCCTCCTTCGTAAAGCATCCGGCAGCAGCCGGCCCCTTGCCCTGCAGTGATCCAAAAAATTCAAAGCCGTTTCCTCAATAATCCCTGCTAGCCTGTCCCGCCCTATCAGCTGTACGAGTTCCCAAAAAATCTCTGCTAGCCCTCCAACACCTACCTCCACTTCCGCCGTATCCTGCGTCACTGACGACCGGCTCCTTCTGGGCGGGTTGATGTCCGTTTACGTCATTCATGACGACTTCCGTATCTTGGCACACGCACGTACCGGGCGTACCGGTCGGGCCGGCTTCACCCTGAAAAATAGGATTCACAAATGGTCTTTGCCAGCCTGCTATCCTAAAAAGTCTTTGCTAGCCTGCCCTTTCCTAAAGAATCTCTGCTAGCCTGCCTTTTTCCTAAGAAATCGCTGCCACCTACCCTCGGTCCAATCGGTCCAGCAGGTCCAACAGGTCCAGGAGCTCCGGGGGGTCCTGGCCATCCCTTTTCACCTGGTGCTCCCGGGTATCCATCCTCTCCAGCACTTCCGGGGTGTCCAGGCGGGCCCCAGGGTCCTGGGTCTCCAGCCTCTCCAGGTGGCCCCGGGATGACGTGAGCCTGAATAGTCGGGTCTAGCTATTTCGATGAGCTTGGGAGATTAAGCAAGGCAAGGCAAAAATACGATGGATTCAGCCGTTTATGACATTTTAAAGGGACTGGCAAGCTAAAAAATCGACGTTTTCCGTCCACTAGGCCTCGACAACTACGTGTTGCTCTAGATGCCGCTAGCTCATCATTTTCTCTTGTACTTGAGCGAATCTCGATCCAACATTGCACTCCAAATGACGGCTCAAAAAAAGTGAATGCGTCTTTGTGAGGCTGTCGAGACCTAGTCGGTAGCTGGGGTAGATTCTTACGCTTTCAGGCTCCTTTAAAGAAACCGGGAAGACAAAAGACGGCCCTGACATTTTGATCTGACCGGAATACTGAACACTCCGTTCTCTACTTCCCTTTAGGCCTCTAAAACAAAAAAATACAGTACCTCCGGGGTCCTGCCAAGATTTCCGGGTGGTCCAATGGGTCCTGGGACTCCAGGCGGGCCAGGCGGTCCAGGTTCACCCATCTTTCCGGGCATACCATCAGCCCCGGGCCGGCCTCCGATTCCGGGGTCTCCCGGATCTCCTGGGAATCCGGGGTGGCCGGGCACACCTCGAGCGCCTGAAAATCGATCGGTATAATCTGTAGACACGCCTTTCCATCCCTTTAAAGGCCCATGAAAAACGGAAACGAACCCTGGGGGCACGGCAGGCACGGCGGCGGCTCGAAGACGCGCTCCGGGATGCAGCTGGCATTCGGGGTAGTTCCGGGACGTCCGGGAGCTCCATCGGGACCTGGGGCTCCGTGCATACCCGGGAGTCCAGAATCTCCGGTAGGTCCGCGCTCCCCGGGGGTGCAGCAGGCTGAAAAAGGTGCGCGTGTGAGTTTGAGATCGATTTAGGAAAACTCCGGGCAAGGCAATCCAGCAGTGATACCTTGGGACGGCTGACTGGAGAGGGAAACTAGCGGAGGCTCTTGAGGAATGCTGATTCGAAGGGCAAACTAACAACGCTAATTGACAAATTCTGATTCAGAAAAAAGTTTGGCAAATTTTTTTGGGACCTTTTGCGATCGAAAGCGAGCAAGAGAAAAAGAGCGAGATAGAGAAAACAGAGAAAGAGAGCGAGAGCGAGTAAGAGAGAACGAAAGAGATAGAGAGAGAAAGCGAGAGAGCGGGGGAGAGGGAGAGAGAGAGAGAGAGAGAGAGAGAGAGAGAGAGAGAGAGAGAGAGAGAGAGAGAGAGAGATAATACACCCACCTGGGCATTCCTGGAATTGCGGGGTGTCGGCGGCCAACATCGACGGGTTGTAGTGCTGTCCGTAGTTGGCACGACGTGTTCTAAAAGATTTCAGATTCTATGTATTGTATTTTATTAAACGCTACTCTGACTATAGATACAAACTACAACTTTTTACATTGCCTGCAGCACCTACCGGTTCTTCGTCAGGTCCATAAACCGGTCCCGCAGCGACCCCATCTCCGTCTCCAGGTCAATGGCGGCATTCTGGAAAGCCAAAAGCTGTTTCAGAATTCCCAAAGGATCGCTGCTAGCTTGCGCCAAATCCGCCATTTCCCAAAGAATTCCTGCTAGCCCACCCACCTCGCAGTATGCAAAGTCCTGCGTCGAAAAGCGGGCCGTGTTGGCGACAAAGTTGAACAACGACGGGAGGGTGACGCAAATCGTTAGGAGGGAGACGATCGACAGGATGGAGGAGATCTGAAGGATTGAATTAAATAAGGTTGAGTAGACGCCTAGACTAAGCTTAAGTCTAAGTTAAGCCTAAGCATATGATTTTTTTTTCTTATTCTAAGCTAAAAGTTTAAGCCAACACCTAAGCCCAAGCCCAAGCCTAAGCCTAAGCCTAAGCCTAAGCATAATCCTAACCTAAGCCTAAGCCTAAGCCTAAACCAAGCCTAAGTCAAACGGACCGTGATGATGTACTTGTAGGCATGTTCCCGATTCGGGTCCAACACATCGAAGGGGCCGGCTTTTGGCCCGCCCGTCGATATCCGCATTCTGGTGTAAGGGGGCCGGCCGGCCGGGGGATGGGACCAAGCTGGAAAAGCTAGTTCACGCTATCCAAAGCGATTTGAGGCACAACCGTGAGAATAGCTCAACATTCAGAAGGACCAATGAATTACGCGCAAAAAAATACAGAATATTTTCCGGTGCGCACGCTTGAAAATGGGAGGACTACAGATATTGAGGGCTCTTTTCCTAAGCCTTAGCCTAAGCCTGTTCCTAAGCCTAAGCTCAAGCCTAAGCCTAAGCCCAAGCCTAAGCCCAAGTCTAAGCCTAAGCCGAAGCCTTCGATTTACGGCAATCTGGACAACTAGAGCTAGCAGAGATAGGAGGATCGGAAGTATACGACCGGACGGCAGAAAAGCGGAAAGTCGACGGTTTTAAAGGGGGCCGGACAGGAAGAAGAACTTTAGGAAGCGGACAGTAAAACCTGAACTGTTTGAAGCTGCAATCGAAGGAGGTCCCGCTTTGAAAGGCGCGTTAATAAAATCAAGCGAAATAAAATATGGCCAAAGGAACTTTGAAGCACAAACTTTGTTAAAAAATATAGAAACATTTTAGCGACAAGCCGTACGAGCGACTTAGTCACAAATAAATACAGGAAATTCGGCGCTACTTCAGTTTGCTGGCCCCACTTATATATGGCCAAAACCTCATTTTTCTGGTTCAGTTTTTTGCGCTGATTACGGAAAACACTATCCCAGCCCACGAAAATGAAATCGTGAATTTTGAGGGGAGAAAACACTTGATTTTCGATTTTTCTGGTTTGAGTTTTTAAAGGGGGTCAACCCGGTGTTTTGATGCGGGAGGCCTATAAAACAGTGGAAAAGCTTTTTCCAACGAGGCTGAGCGATTGCATCCGCTTTTTTTCCTAAAAATAAGGCTTCGTGCCACCCCGGGGCCTAGTCGCTTCGGATGGGTGCGAGCTCGTACAGGGTTTCGAAATCGGGGCGCCCGAGGCGCGCGAAGCGGCCAGGCGCCCCGATTTCGAAAGAGTGGAGCGGCAGCCCATCCGAAGCGACGGCCCGCCTTGCCTGACAATGCTACTGGCTGACTTTATTCATGATAAACCCGTTTTTGGCCATTATTTAATTAAAAAACCACAAAAAGGCTCCTTTTACGCGACCGCCGTAAAATGGAATTTTCCCGACTTTCCAATTAAATTGTTTTACTAAATCGCATTTTCGTGGGCTGGGATAGTGTTTTCCGTAATCAGCGCAAAAAACTGAACCAGAAAAATGAGGTTTTGGCCATATATAAGTGGGGCCAGCAAACTGAAGTAGCGCCGGAAATTCTGCTAACGTTGTGAATTGAAATCGCCAGAAAAACCGCGGGCTTCCCCCAAACGAGGCCCAGTTTGCACGATTCTGAGGACCCAGGTTGTCGACCCTCTGTGCCCCTCTAAAAAAATCGAGAAAGGCCCGGAAGTCACATTAATAAAGCGAAAGTATGTAACAATTTCTTAGCCACTGAAGCCGACCAAAAAAAAACTAGGCGGGTGGGGTTCATAAAAGAAAAGGGTAAAGGCAGGGGGGGAGGCTGATAGGGGCGCAGAATCAGTGGCTGGTGATCGGGTCGAAGAGGGGAAATTGGGTCAACGAAGGGGAAATCGGAGGATGGAGGGAATGGAAGACAGGCTATCACCGGGGGATATACGGGAATGTGACTACGCAGGAAGACTATTGACGGGGTGGAATTTGTCTAGTTATGGAATCAATTGGGGGACTGGGAGTTAAAGGGACTGGCGAAAAAATTTCTGCGTCTTTGCCAAGGATTTCTGCTAGCCTGCCCTTTCCTAAAGAATCTCTGCTAGCCTGCCTTTCCTAAAGAATCTCTGCTAGCCTGCCCTTTCCTAAAGAACCTCTGCTAGCCTGCCTTTCCTAAAAAATCTCTGCTAGCCTGCCCTTTCCTAACGAATCTCTGCTAGCCTGCCCTTTCCTAACGAATCTCTGCTAGCCTTTCCATCCAAAACCAGTTCCGACCCTGGTTACGGAAGTCCGACCGTATGAATATATAATTTCAGCTCGATACCGTACCCCTCTCTTCGTATCATCCCGGGAGTGCGACTTCCATTCCTCAGGCACGATCCGTTTCCAAAATATCAGCAGTCCGCGCGAGCCAAATTTGGGTCAATCATCCAGCGGGCCGCCCGGGGTGAGAGAGAGGAAGAGATATAGAGAAGAGAGAGAGAGAGAGAGAGAGAGAGACAGAGAGAGAGAGAAATAGCAAGCGCGCGCACCGTACGCCCGGTGCCGCCCCGCGCGGATAGCAGAACCTTTGCGCGCGCGGGAATTTTCCAGAAATCACGAGCAAAGAGGGCGCGGGAGATAGCAACACTAATCGGCGGCTGGCTATGGTTTCGCCGAGGGATTGCTGGAACCTTAAAAGACGAAGCCTGACAACACCTAACCAAACTTGTGGGCAAGTTTGCACCCGGGAATCAGCGTTTCAAGGCGGTTCGAATGAGTCTGGAACGAAATTATGGCAAGCTCGACTGGCTGAAGCGAATTTTCGAAAAAATTGATATCCCCCTTTGCTCGAAAACGACAAAAAATGACATTTCGAAAAATCCTAGCACCTACACCAGGCCCTCCCAAGATTCTTACCAAAAATTTTTAAGCACTATTTTTGTTGCTCTTTCAGATGCAAACTGAATTGAGTGTTGAAAACGCCCGTTCGGCCGCAAATAGGCCTAGGTTAGAAGAGATGATGGCGCTTGCCAGGTGCCTTGGTGAAACTTCAAAAAATCTAAAGTCTCTTTCTTCTTTCTCTTTCTCTCTTTCTCTCTCTCTCTCTCTCTCTTCCTCTCTCTCGTTCTCACTCTCTCCCTCTATCTCGATCGCTCTCTCACTCTCTCTCTCTCTCCCTCTCTCTCCCTCTATCTCGATCGCTCTCTCTCTCTCTCGCTCTCGCTCCAAGAAGTCGGCAGTAGCAGAGTGCCGTCTAAGCAAATTGCGGTCGTCATGGAGCCCCGCGGAAAATTTTTCTGTTGTGGGCCCCTATGGGTGGGCCCTCGGCTGGGTGTGTGTGATAAAATATTGGGGACCCAAGAACAAAGGAGGAGGCATCATTTTACGAATCGGGCGGCATCGCGCGGAACACCTTTTCCCGGAAATACCTTCCGGTTTTTTACTGCCGTTTTCTTGGAAGTGGTATCGATTGTAGTTTGCAGTCAGAATTAACGTCGACTTAGCGCGCCGGCAAGCCTACTCGTTTTAGAATTGGGCTTGGGCGTAGGCATAGGCGTCGGCTTAGGCTTAGGGGCTTAAGCTTAGGTATCAGGCTTAAGTTAAGGCTTGGGCTTATGCTTCGGCTTGAGCTTAGGCTTAACCTTAGCTTAGAATAAGGAAAAATCATAGGCTTTGGCTTATGCTTGAATTTGGCTCGAATCAGGTGGCTGCTGGGGTTTCCTACTCGGCTTCAGCTGAACATACAGTTAGGCTTCGGCTTGAGCTTCGTGAACGTAATCCTGATCGCCGTGGGGGCTTGAGCAGGAGCTTAAGTTCTGGTTGGAGCCCGAGCCATAGCTAAAATCATATCTGCATCCGTTTTTTTGTATTTTTTGGCTCGTTCGAAGGGCCAATTTTTGCAGCTCTATTTTTTGCACCTTTTCTCTCTCCATTCCGGATCTATGCAACTTGCGCCAATCCCGCTAACCCCCTAATTCCATCCCATTCCTCCGCACATTTCAGGTAAACCTAATTGGCAAGGGTCTCTCCCCCCCTGGCGACACACCAAACTAATGGCCATTTCTCGCGCCGCGGGTCTCCCCATTAACTACAAAACCGTGCGAGGAGCCTGGCGGAAAAACAGACTCGCATACGTTTCCAGTATAGACTAACATTGAATGGCGCTTTTTGGCTTACGTCTTGCTCGCTCTCTCTCTCAGTCACTCTCTCTCCCTCTCGCTCTCTCTCTCTCTCTCGGTTGCGCTTCATATACGCATACTGTAATTTTTCAGGGCAATGGATCGGCCGATGTCGAAGTCGAGGTTGCCGATTATGACGAATTCGCCGATCGCTGTCAGGCGGCAGGTAGACTAGCTAGGCTACTCCACCTTTCAAGGGGACAACAAGCGCCATAATCGACCCAAGCAGACACCTAGGTCTCGACAGCTACGCGATATTTCAAATGACGCTCGCGAACTCCATTTGCATTTCTTTAGGGGAACGATTTACAACCAAAATTAAGATAATTCAGGTGTCATTTGGAGTAGCGCGTGATTGTTGAGGCCTAGAGGAGGAAAATGGTGGCTCCCGGAGCTTTCCAGTGCTTAAAAAAAACTGTATATTGGGGGTTAGGCTTAGGCTTAAGCTTAAGTTTAGACTTGGGCTAAAGCTTAGGCTAAAGCTTAGGCTTAGGCTTAGCTTCGTTCGTTTTATTTTTTGTTCTGATTGTTGGCCGCTCCCCGTTCTGCCCGGGTTCCCCCCATAAATGGGGTAGCGTCGCGTAATCGGCGGCTCAACCACCCGATTCATAAAAGACAATAGAAGGCGCTCCACACCGTCCGATTGCGCACGAAAATCAAAAGAAATTTTGTCGCGCTGGATAATCCGCTAGGTGTCAGGGGGTATTGAGGGGTATTCAAGCTAAACGACCTCAATTTTGAGGGCTGACGCCTGAAGTCTTCTCGTTTTCGAATTCGATCCAGAAATGTTGATTTTTGGGTTTGAAACGATGGGCTAGCAGAGATTCTTCAGGAAAGGGAAGGCTAGCAGAGATTCTTTCGGACAAGGCAGGCTAGCAGAGATTCTTTAGGAAAGGGCAGGCTAGCAGAGATTCTTTAGGAAAGGGCAGGCTAGCAGAGATTCTTTAGGAAAGGGCAGGTCAGCAGAGATTCTTTAGGAAAGATTGCGAAATCGAAATGTAGCAGAGATTTTTGATGCAATAGCAGCGTTTCGTTAGGAGATGCTAGAAACTGGCCAGCTAGCGGAGATTCTTGAGGAAAATGGATGTAGAGCAGGCTAGCAGAGATTTTTTAAAGATATGGAAGAAATCTGCGGAACGGATTTCCCCAAAGATCTCTGCTAGCTAGCGTTTCTCTCTCTCCCTCTTTCTCTCTCTCTCTCTCCCTCTCTCTCTCTCTCTCTCTCTCTCTCTCTTTGCCTCCTCCAAAAGGATCGTACCCACCGGTGCCCCTTGTTTTTTGTAGTTTGTCCAGCGGCTACCTGCTCTCTGAAATCCGCGGCTAATTAGGGCCGGCTTTAGTTTTTCCGCAGCGTTCCTCCTAACGGCCCGAATCGTAAAGTGGTGCCTTTTGTTTGAATCGGCTAATGAGCCGGGGCAAGCTAGCTGAGATCATTTTGGCTTAGAATTAGGCTTAGAATCCGGCTTAGGCTTTGTTAGACCTAGCTTAGCTTGGTCTTTAGTTTCCGGTGAACTTTGGTGGCTTATTCCTGATTAGTTCTGCGCGCTACGCACGGCGCTAATTTAGCAATTTCGTGGAAGCTAAAAAATTGGGGCTGGAACTTGTACGTCGCGTAGTGTTTTGATCTCGGGTCCCAAGGGGGAAGAGGGTCAGAAATTCAGGGAAGATGATGTCTGTAGTCTGGAATTATGGAAATATGATCTCCGCTAGCCTGATCTTTTCTAAAGAATCTCTGCTAGCCTGCCCTTTCCTAAAGAATCTCTGCTAGCCTGCCCTTTCCTAAAGAATCTCTGCTAGCCTGCCCTCTCGATTTACACCAGGTAATAGACCACGTAATTAATGAATCTCTTGGAATCCCCAGGGAGAATTCCGAAGCGGATTCCAGAAAAAGTGAGTAACCCCCGGCCTCCCGATTTTCACACCACCCCCTTGATTGCGGCATGGTACGATTCGGGCCCGGCGGCTTTTTCCCAGGCTTCTGTGGGGTGATTAATTTGAAAATTTCGTTTCTGAACCCTCAGAATTTTTTAGAAAACTAAAAATAATTTTCGGTCTTTGAAAGCATCGTTTTGGATTTTTAAAATTTCAGCTTTCAAAATCCACGCAGCGAACGGCGCCTATCGTCAGCCAGGAGTCGCTGAAGAAGAAGAGCAACGTTTTGGAGATGGACAAGGTAAGAGGGATCGAGCGAGCGAGAGAGAGAGAGAGAGAGAGAGAGAGAGAGAGAGAGAGAGAGAGAGAGAAAGAGAGAGAGTGGGAGAGAGAGAGAAACGCGAAAGAAGGAGAGACGTGACAGATTTTTCAGGGACGCGAAAACGAGGAGCTTGTCTGCATCGGACGCGCCAAGCCGCTGATTCGCGAGTCGTCGAGGGATAAAGTGAGTGGCGCAACGTAGCGCAGCTACCGTACCCTTCCGTACTCTGCCGTAACTTATATGTCCGTACGGTATCGGACTCTAGCCCACGTTGCGTTGCGTGTTTTTCGGCTTCGTATCGTGTCCTACTACAGTGCTGCCTCGTACACCGGCGTAGTGTTTCGTACACTCGCCTACTGTGCCGATTTCTAGCGCACTGCTTCGTACTCCCGCGTACGGAAATGTACTCTAGCGTATTGTGCCGAACTATCGCATATGGAGCCGTACTCTGGCGTACTGTCCCGTACTTCTGCGTACTGCCCCGTACCCCTGGGTATCCCGCCCCGTCTGTATCCAGACGGCGTCTGCGTCATGCGTAGAATCAAGAAAAAACCCTAATCGAGAATTATAGGTCCTACAGCCCTCCCGAAACATCGACAAGCAACCCTCAATCGATCAGGTTCATCTACCAGCGCTTCAGGTGTGGCTTTTGCCTTTAACGACCCTTTAAATCCAGTTTCATCGTTAAATTCACCTGGCTTAGAGTCGACCCCAATCGGATCGAGAAAGCCCGGCTTCGACGGATCGCCAAGACCCTCCACGTCGACTTGGCGGGACGCGGATCGTCAGCGGGAAGTTGAGACGAGAAGCCATGGCGCTGAAGCAGGAACCATCGATGGAGAGAGGTTAGGCAAAGGCTGAGGCTTAGGCTTCGGCGTACGCTTAGCCTTAGCTTACGGCTCGGCTTAGGCTTAGGCTTAGGTTGGGCTTAGGCTTATGCTTACGCTTCATTCCTTTAGTACTCGAATCCGAACAAACCTCGCGCTCCGAGACGCCTGACTTCAACTCCCTCCACGTCAACGTGCATTCGACTGGATCGGAGCGTAAGTTACGAAAACGCCACGAAATTTCCATTTCAGTCCGAATGACGGGCAACCCCAGCCGGATACGGAATGTTGGTAGCCACCTGCTTCAGCGCGTCATCCGACTCCAGGGCGAATTGGCGAGGAAGGAGCAGGAGATATGGTAAAGAATCTTTGCTAGTCTGCCCTTTCCTAAAGATTCCGTGCTAGTCTGCCCCCAACAAAAGCTTTTTCTAGGGAATTACGAGCCGGCACGATGCCTCCGTCAGCTCAAGGCATCCGGCAACGAAGCCCATTCGATCAAGGTACGGTTTTTTGGCATTTTAAAGGGACTGGGAGGTCTGGAACGTCTGCGCTCCTAATTGGCGTATTGCCAAAACTCCTAGACTTTGCCTTTTGCAGCCCCTTTAACCGATTTTTCAGCCGGATATGGTGTGAATTTCTCGAAAATTCCGCAGCCACTTCATACGCATTGGCAAAAGCGGCCGTCGCTGAATTACATCGGACTGGTGATCGATCCGGATCAGTATGCAGATGAGGTAAGCTAGCAGCGATTTTTTAGGAAAGGGCAGTCTAGCAAAGATTCTTTAGAAAAGGGCAGGCTAGCAGAGATTCTGTAGGAAAGAGCAGGATAGCAGAGATTCTTTAGGAAAGGGCAGGCTAGCAGAGATTCTTTAGAAAAGGGCAGTCTAGCAGAGATTCTTTAGAAAAGGGCAGGCTAGCAGAAACTATTCGCTATTTTCAGACCGACCCAGCCCTAACGGCCCTCCAGCTTCAACAGTATGCCAAGGAGAAAAAGGTACCGCATCCCTCGTTTTTGTAGTAAAAAAATTCTTTTAGAGCATTATTTTAGTTGTTTTTCTAGACTGAAACCGAGGTCTACCACGCCCTCGTTCGAACTCTGGCTAAAAACCTGAAAAATTTCAACGACAGGTCGGTTTGAAGGGACAAAGACGAGGCCTGGATTTTTAGGGTGCTTGCGCACTCATCGCGAGAATATTCAGAAGTGTTTCATGCGATCGAAATTGCGCTGGAGGAGCAGGCGACGCTCACCAAGGTGAGGGAAAATCGGGCAAGCTAGCAGGGATCCTTGAGGAAAATTAGATGATTTGGGCAGGCTGGCAAGAGCTCCTTGGGAAATGAGGCTGGGGCGAATCGCAAAGAGATTTTAGAAAGCAAGAGCAAGGCAGGCTAGCAGCGATTTTTTAGAAAAGGGCAGGCTAGCAGAGAACATTTGTGGATTCCAGAAAATCGAGATGAGCTGCGAGGTGTACCTGAAGAAGCTGGGGATGAAAGGGGACGACGTGTCGAGGATGAAGCTCATGTTTCGAGATGAGGTCTATCATCGGATTTATGTGAGTTTGGGAAAACGAGAGAGAGAGAGAGAGAGAGAGAGAGAGAGAGAGAGAGCGAGAGCGAGAGAGAGTGAGCGATAGAGCGAGATCTAGAGCTAGAGAGATTTTTCAGCTGCTCCTAAAACAACTCGAGTCCGTCTTCCCGGTGATAGGTGACGCAGCAGCGATTGCCAGGGAGAGCCTGAGGGCCAGCAACATTTTGAGCGAATGGAACCGGCATTTGCAGGTCAGTTTAAGAGCAGACTAACGGGGATTTTTTGGAGGAATCGTGACTTGCTGGAAGGGCAACTAGCAGAGAACCTTTTGGGACTGTAAACGTGGTGTTACTCCGCCTTCAAACCCAATTTCCAGAACGAGATCTCGAAGAAAGGACTATCCTCGGATCTTCTGAACAGGGCCAGCTCCAGCTTAAAGGTACGGTAGCTCAAAGAGGAGAGAGAAAGAGAGAGAGAGAGAGAGAGAGAGAGGGGGGGGGGGGGGGGGGGGGGAAGAGAGAGAGAAGAGAGAGAGAGAGAGCGAGAGCGAGAGAAAGAGATGGCTAGAGTCAATCAGTGCCTGTAATACGTCTTTAGGACCTTTTCGGAGCCGAGGGACTGGAACGTCATTGGGTGCCGGCCGTACTCGCCCCCCTCGTCGAAGTATTGGGCGTCGAAACCGAGAAGACTGCCCCTCAGTCTACCGTTTATCCCGATAACCTCTACCATCCGGAAATCCTCGTCTGCCCCAGCTGCCATCACTCGGGGAATATGACAAGTACAGGTAAGAGATAAGAGGGATGGAGCAGAGAAAAATCTTAACTTCGCGCCTCGTTGTGGTGACCGATTTTGAGCTCAACTTCCCCAGAGGGGGGGGTTTTTCAATATATTTTTAAAAATTTAAAAAAAAAAAATAAAAAGAAAGAAAGTTTTAGGGAAAAGAAAAAAAAAAAAAAAGGGAAGAAAAAATACCTCGCGTCGCACTGACTTCATCGTTGATCACTGTTTTTATAGATTTGAAAGGAGTTTTTAACCTCAATTTCCCCAGAGCGAGCTGTTGCTCATCATTGGTTTTCGGAATCTGCATGAAAAACTGCATCCAAAACCGTTTTTGGATGATTTTTAGTGTACGAGAGAAAAAAGAGAACGAGAGAAAAAACTGATCTCATCGTGCTCGACGCTCCATAAATAACTGATACTTTAAAGCCGATTTCGACCCGGCTTTTTCCAGGACGAGTTGTTGCTCACTATGTTTTTTGAGATCTGCATGAAAAACTGCATCGGAAACGGTTTTTGAATAAACAAAAAGCGTGAAACGTCTTCCCCCCCCCCCATCAAAACCCGCCCCAGAAATTTCAGAGGGCTCCCAGTCGGGGGAGCGGCACAGCCCGGCGGAGGCGCAGGAAGAGCTCGCAAAACTTGAGGATATGGTCGAGGTCGAGAATTTCGAAAAGGTATTCTAAAAGCTGGCCAAAATACCGTAATTTTGCCTTCAGAACGAGGCTCGGATCGAGCTTGATGAGACGAGGGGGCAGCTGGAGAAGGAGAAATCTGTGGTCGGGGAGCTGCACTCGGAGGTAGGGGGGCTTAGGCTGGCTCTCTCTCTCTCTCTCTCTCTCTCTCGCTCTCCTCTCTTCTATTTATAGTATTTTAGATAAAAGACCTGAACTCCTTGGTGGCTGATCGGGAGCGTGAGATAGCCTCCCTCAACGAGACGGTGGAAGATTTGATGAACCAGATTCAGAAGCTGAACGAGGTAAAGAAACTCTGCTAGCCTGCCCTTTCCTAAAGAAGCTCTGCTAGCCTCCCCTTTCCTGAAGAATCTCTGCTAGCTACCTCCCTGTGTCAATTTTAATTCCTAAATTCAGGAAAAGCTCGTAACTCTCGGTCGTCTGCTCGTCTTGGAAGCGGAAGTGGCCCAGCTCAGCCAGCGAGAACCAGAAGCCGCTTCTGGAGCTCCAGATGGACACGTTGATGTCGTCAGAATTGATGGTCTACAATCCAGCCCGGGTTTGTTCCGAGAAACGATAATGGAGGAGGACGAAGATGGCCATCAATCGACCCGGACGACGAAGGTGGGCTAGCAGAGATTCTTCAGGAAATGGCAGGCTAGCAGAAATTTTTTAGGAATGGGTAGGCTAGCAAGGATTCCTGAAAAAATCCAGATTCAGGAAGAATCACGCTAGTTTGCACCAATCCCAATTTCCAGAGTCTCCAAATCTCGATGGACGACGGCCACATCATCTCCAGCCAGCCATATGCCAATGAGGAGCACGACCAGGCTGGTGCTCGTGAGACGATAGCTTCCCCAACTTTGGAAAAAACTGAAGAGACCCCTCGTGACTTGGCGACGTCGTTGATAGGGGAGGTGTTGGAGAGAGTGGAGAGGGATGAAGCTCAAGCGCAAGCTGGAGCTCAGGCTGAAGCGGGAGATGAGGCTCAATACGAAGCCGGAGAAGAAGTTGGAGATGAAGCACTGACCCGAGCGCCAGCTGGAGATGAAGCCCAAGCAAACGAAGCTCAAGCTCTCGGCGAAGCTGAGGTTGCTGCTCAAGTTCGAGAGGAGGCAAATCATGAAGACGAAGCTCCACGGGAAGATCAGGCTCGAAAACAAAGCCAACAAAGCCAAACTCAAGTGGGGCTCGAAATCGAAAGCCAAGAGCACGTAGCCGAGCCGAGAAAACGAAGCCTAGAGCGCCAAGAAGCCGAGGAAGCGGAAAACGAGGCCGACTTACCTTCTGAGCTTGCCAAGCCAAGCGCCCCCGAGCTTGAGCCTGAGCCTGAGGAGGAGGTCTTCGAAGCGAAAAGCGAACTAGGAACTGGAGGAGAAGCCGAAGCAGCCCAGGCTCAAACAGGAGACGCGCAGGAAAACCCTGCTCAGGCTGAAGAGGAGGCTCAAGCTCAAGACCCTCCGTCGGACGAAGACGATCTTCTAGGGCTGAAAAATCAGCGATTCGCATATAGCGTGGAGATGGCTGACGATGCGAATGAGCCCGTTCAAGTCGCTGAAGTCGTTGGAGCTGACGAAGCCGTTGAACCTGTCGATGCCGTCGAAGCCTCTAAGGCTTCACCGGCTGAATCTGCCGAAGTTGTCGAAGCTTCTGAAGCGTCACCGGCTGAACTTGCAGGGGTCGATGAAGTCGTCAAAGCCTGTGAAACCGCTGAAGCCAATAAAGCTGGTCAAGCCTTTGAAGTCGATGAAGTCGCCGAAGCCAACTCAGAACCCGACTTGGCCTGCGATTCAGCAGCGCTGGATGAAGCCTTGGCTGGGCTTGATGGCCCCGAATCGCCACCTACCGTAGTCCTCGAGGAGGAAGAGGATGAGGATGAGGAGCCCTGGGATGCAGGGATTGATCTCGAGGCAGCGATGAGCGCGAGGGTCGATCAGATTTCGATGGATTCGAGGTAAGTAGGCTTAGGATTAGGCTTAGGCTTCGGCAGAGGCTTTGACTTAAGCTTAGTCTTGACTTGGGCTGAGGCTAAAGCTTCGGCTGAGGCGAAGCCTTGTGTTTAGGCTTTATGGTTCAAATTTACAATCCAGGGCAACATTCAACCCGGAGGACGAGCCCCAGCGTCAGCAAGAGGGTCAAGAGGAGCTACTACAAGAGGAAAGCGACCCAGCTGAATACCCACATCTCTCAAAACAAATGAGCTTGGCTTCACGGAGCGCAACGTATGCAGTAGTCGAGCGGAAAAGCAGCGAAAATCCGGATGAGATGAGCTTGAAGGAGGAGGTGGGTTTCTCTCTCTCTCGCTCTCTCCCTCTCTCTCCCTCACTCTAGCGTATTTTGCAGGACTCCGTGGCTACCGTAATCTACCGTAGCCCAGAAGGCAGAAGATCTGATGAGGCGCTCTCGATCACGACTGAAGAGGTCGACCAAGACGAGATCGTACGGTAAGAAAATTCTGAAGACAAAAATGAAAGTTTGACTATTGTAGAATCCTTTCCTCGCGTTCGGAAGACCTGGAAATTCCGGGGTCGGCGACCGAAGACGAAGCCGATGAAGCTGACGAGGTTTTCCAAGGCCACGAGGAGAAGGATGAGGTGAGAGAGAGAGAGAGAGAGAGAGAGAGAGAGAGAGAGAGGGAGAGGAGAGAGAGAGAGAGAGAGAGAGAGAGAGAGAGAAATAACGACTTTAGGTCCCACGTGGAATCGGCAGGCTGGCTCTCGGCTCCACTGAATCGCTCCTTGAGGCTGAGGATGAAAGTGAGAAAAAATTTGTTTTAAAAGGAGGGTGACAGAAAGAATATCGTGGGCGTAGCATAGCAGAAATACTTTAGGAAAGGGCAGCCTAGCAGAGACCCCTTAGGACACCTATCTCCACAATCCCGTTCAGAAATCGAGCATGAGCTTGAGCTACTGTCAAACCAGGTGAAGGAGTTGTACAACATCAAGGACAACTTAGAGGAGCGCTTAGGCGCTTGGAATCCGGAATTGTAAGTGTATTTTTTGCATTGAATCGTTCTTTAAGTCTTTTAAAACAAAATTATAATCTTTCAGGAGTGGCCCGGTCTATCCGGAAAAGGTTGAAGATCCAGTGAAGGAGATGGAACGACGGCAAAAGGAGGTAGTCAAAGAATCTCTGCTAGCCTGCTAACTCAATTTTTCAGTTCAATCGCGTCGCAGGCTACGTCTTTGAACTGCTCGAAGAGGACGTCGAGCTGGACACAGACGCTCGGCAATTGTCGCTCGAAGAAAGGGGGCAGCTACGCACTCGGGTTATTCAGCGGATCGTCGAACATCTACACCGGTTGATCAGGTTCGTTCGTTAGCAGAAATTCTTTAGGAAAGGGCAGGCTAGCAGAGATTCTTATGGAATTTCGCCTTTTTAGAAATGACGACCCTCCGGCTCCACAAGCTGATGCTCAAGATCAGCGCCTCGGAATGTACACCCGGTTGAAGAAGATGCAAACTTTCGATGAGGGAGCGTCCGGGTCGGTGGCTAGCAGAGATTCTTTAGGAAATGGCATGTTAGCATGGATTTTTGAGGAAAATCAGAAGATTTCTTGTGTCTTCAAAACCCTAAAGATCGGTTTTTCAGGTTCAATTCGGACGCGGATCGGATAGTCAGTGCAGAAATAGCTACAGACCAGTGGGTTTCTCTCTCTCTCTCTCTCTCTCTCTCTCTCTCTCTCTCTCTCTCTCTCTCTTCTCTCTCACTCTCTCTCTCTCTCCTTCTCTCTCACTCTCTCTCTCTCTCTCTCTCTCCTTCTCTCTCACTCTCTCTCTCTCTCTCTCTCTCTCTCTCACTCTCTCTCTCTCTCTCGCTCTTTCTGTATCTCTCTGTTTAAAGCAAGGCTTCGTTTAGAATCAACAACAACGCTCAACCCGTCGCCGAAATTGCCCAAAACGTAAGTAGCAGCTTGTCGTCGTCGTCGCTTTTTCGCCCTTTCAACTTTTTCGGCTTACTTTCCTTTTTTAACTTTCGTTTTTAGTAGCCGCGCGTTGTCGCGTCGCGTCGCTTACTGTATCACAAATTATGTAAATGTACAAGCAGCTATTACTGTGCTTATCACTCCCAAATATCGTAATTTTCGCCGAGTTAGCCCTGTAGGTAAGCGATGTGTGCATGTAACTGTGTTCAGGGGTACGGTAGATGAACCATTCCTAAATAATACCTGCTAGCCTGCCCCTTTCTAAAGAATCTCTGCAAGCCTGTCCTTTCTTAAAGAATCTCTGCTAGCTTACCCAAAAAGCGCAGCAGATCCTCAATGTTGGGCTAGCCAGCAGAGAACCCCAGGCCTGATGAATTTCCAAAAAAACCGTCTACCGTATCCCAAACTTCCTGATTGCGTGGCATGCGTGGTCGGTCATTCCTGAGTTCCGATTCGGTCCTAGTTACATGAAAATTCTGGATAAAAATTGAATAAGACCTAATTCAGATGACAGCCCACATGCAGTCACATCTGAATACCGCCTACGGTAGACCTGGAGGGAGAGGGGCGACACGCGACGCTGGCACGCGGCGCCGAGGGTCCAGATCTAGATCCCAGCCTATGCAGCTGCCCGTCGTTCAGCCGAGGATGAAGTTTTAAAGGGATTTGAAAGGCGAAAGAGAGACAGAGAGAGAGAGAGAAAGAGATAAAGAGAGAGAGAAAGAGAGAGAGAGAGAGAGAGAGAGAGAGAACCTAGAAAGCAAGAGTACCATGTAGAAAAAGATCGACGGTGAGGGATATGGCGAGCGAGAGAGAGACAGAGCGAGACAGAGAGAAAGAGCGAGTGAGAACGCGAGAGCGAACGAAATCGAGCAGCTTTAGACGACTTCTCTCGTCTCGCCTGATGTCTCTCACCCTCTCTTTCACTCTCCCGAACTCACTCTCTTAACATGTCCATCCGTTCTGGCCCCTTTAAAATTCCGCCCCCATCCTCTGCCCACCGTCGTCTCTTCCCCCTCTTCACTCTGGAACCGGTTACCCCCTGCCGAAGTGGAGTACTAATTCGCCGTCTACCACCCCCACTTTCCGCCACTTTACTCTGTACTCCTCGATTTTTCGTTATTTGTGATTTTGCGTGATTTTTCGATTCTTCAATGCATATCTCGGCCTCTGAATTCTAGGGATTCTAAATACATAATTATCGATTCGCCCGGTGTTCCATAGCTATTTTCCATCCCGTTTTGCTCAGATTTTTGACTTTTTGGCCCGAGCGCCCGATGTTTATCTACTTAAGATTTTATCGGCTGAGAACTCTCGACTTTTCGCGGTTACACTGCAATAAATAGTGATTTGTCTCAAAGTGGAATGTTTGAAAATGGGAAAATTGTGTTTTTGGAAGTGTGGAAGTGTTGGGGAGAAAATGTCTAGCGGCGAGATTTATTTTGAGGGCTTCTTGACCTTCGATTTGGAGCGAGGCAGAGAGAGAGAGAGAGAGAGAGAGAGAGAGAGAGCGATAAAAGCCGAATTCGAGGTTGATCTCTTCGTTTCTCTAAGGGTTTTCTGCTAGCCTGCCCTTTCCTAAAGAATCTCTGCTAGCCTGCCCTTTCCTAAAGAATCTCTGCTATCCTGCCCTTTCCTAAAGTTCCCACACCCCGTCGCTTCGTTTCCCCTCGCTACCGAAGGCCATGTTTTTTGGCGCGACTCGTAGTCATATGGGGCAGGTGGGCCACCTGGGCCCGAAAAGGCGTCTCCCTGGAAACGCAGCTCTGAGCCCACCTTGAGGCCCGGTGTAGGGCCCATTTATCAGCTCCAGCCTCTCGCTATATTGGCTTAAATTAGCGGCGTCGGCTGTCGAATTGAAGCCATAAATTTGGCAAGAATTTTGCAAAAAAAAATTGCGGCGCTGGATCGATTAAGGCATGCAACTTGGTTCTTTCCCTTTATCGGGGGTGGACCTATTTTTTCTTAGGATCTATCTTTCCAAATATAAATAATGGAAGTGTTTCTGAGTCGTTTGTTACTATTCCTAAACGTGGGAACTTCGTCAATTTGTGTCTCTGCATGTCTCTCTCACTCTCGCTTTCTCTCTCTCTGTCTCTCTGTCTCTCTCTCTCGCTCTCGCTCTCTCTCTCTCTCTCTCTCGTCGCATCACAACTTCCTCAACAAAGCCTAATCCCCATTTTTCAATCAACCGGGGCCCATTTTTGAGGCATAATTGCTCCCTTCTCTCTTGCTTTCTTGCTATCTCTCTCTCTCTCTCTCTCTCCTCTCTCCCTCTCGCTCTCTATCACCAGTTATGCCCTCGGGCCACATAATTGCCGGCGAATCGATCTCGAAATGGCAATAGCATATTTCCGGAGTTAACCATGTTGTTGACTCAGCCGTCAGTTGGACCAATGCACTGGGCCTCGTTTTCACCTGGGCCCTAGCACCAAAATCGTACAATGTTCCGCCAGGGGCCATGCTCGCTCCCCCATAGCCCTTATTTTCGTTCCTAAAGAACCTCTGCTAGCCCTCCCTTCGATGCCTTTTTTCATGAAAAACAAGCGTTGTCCCGGGGGTGCCGGGGGCCCCCGTTTTGCATTTTTTATGCGATACGGGAGACTCGGGGACAGGGGAGCTAGAAATTGAAAATTGGAGGGTTGTGTAGTGGAGCCTGGCTCCTGTAGCATCCCTGCTAGCCTGCCCTTTCGTAAATAATCTCTGCGAGCCTGCTTCAAAATTTTGAGGGTTTGGGCCTGAGCTTAGGCTTGGCATCGATTTGGGTTTCTCACTTTGGCTTAGGTTTGGGATTAGACTTAAGCTTCGGAATAGTCATAGGTTCAGGCTTCGGCTTAGACATAGGTTTAGACAGACTTTGGCTTTGGCAGAGGCTCCGACTTAGACTTGAGCTTAGGCTTAGGCTTAGGCTTAGGAAAATGACCAGAAACTATTGGAGTCCCTTGTAGTCTGGCCGGAAAGAGAGGGGCACCTTTTCAACGCCACGTCTAGCCGACCCACCGAGAAAATGAAGCCTTTTTGTGCCCTGGAGGGGCAACATGGCCGCGCCTGCCCTCGGCATATATGGGATTGCTTTTTAGGGATACGGGGGCACCCCCAATGGGTCTCTTTGTCCATTCTTTCTCTCGCTGTCTCTCTTTCTCACTCTCGCCGTCTCTAACCACCCCACTTTTCCACTCCGCGCCCCCTGACGAGCAAATTCGCGTAGGTACACCACGCTACTATGTATCCTGGTGACTCATTGGAGCTAGATTTCGCAAAGAAACTCTGCCAGTCTGCCTTTCCTAAAGAATCTCTGCTAGCCTGCCCTTTCCTAAAGAATATCTGCTAGCCTGCCCTTTCCTAAAGAATATCTGCTAGCCTGCCCTTTCCTAAAGAATATCTGCTAGCCTGCCCTTCCTAAAGAATCTCTGCTCGACTGTCTTTTCCTAAAGAATCTTTGCTGGCTTTATTTTCTTCTCTTCCAGGCCTGGGGTATCCACTTTCATCGGGATGGGAAATTCCCAATATTCGCAGCTGCAAACGGCCGACCCGAGCGATGCGCTGACGCCAAGGTGAGTGTTTTAAAGGCACTGGGACACGCGAAAATCGATCGCTAGGCTCGACTAGGACGTCGATGTTAAGGGGCCACTGAAGGCAAGGGATCGAAAAAATCTGTAAAATATACATACAAATTCAGTTCCAGACTTCTGAAGTCGACGTCGGTGTTCAACTGTCGGGATCCGAAAAAGCGGCCGTCGCCCCACATCGAAAATGTTGGTAGGTGGAATTGGATTTTCTGTTTCCTAAATAGTCCCTGCTAGCCTGCCCTTTCCTAAAAAATCTCTGCTAGCCCCCCCCCGCTCCAGAAAAATGATGGGCTCTAGCGAGCCGCCGGTCTGGTCAACGAGCAAGAAGGCCACCCTCAAAAGGGCGTCCCAACGACCCTCGCCCCGTGGTCTTGTGGTGTAGTGGTTATCACGTCTGCTTCACACGCAGAAGGTCGCCGGTTCGATCCCGGCCAAGACCTATCGTTTTTGCTTTTTGGGAATCGACCATTTTAGGGTGCATTTATGGTTTTCGAGACTTGTTGAGGGCATGCTCGCTCCAAAAACGCAGCTTACGTCCATTTTTCAGGAGCCCTCGCGCCAGTGCGACCTGGAATGCTGATTTCCGGAGGGAAGGATAGTGTGAGTTTGAAGACTAAACCTAGAAGCCTAAGCCTCTGTCGAAGTCCAAGCACATGATTTTTTCAGATCATATCCCTAAACAACCTGGACGTCGGCGACAGTTTGATGACGTGGCGAGGGCACACAAAAGAAGTGTTAAAGGTAACGAAATGGAATTTTAAGGATGGCAGGCTAGCAGATTTTCTTTAGGAAAGGGCAGGCTAGCAGAGATTCTTACGGAAAACAGTTCCTTCTTTTAGGTGGTCTACCGTAACACAGGTGGGAAGCACCTCGTGCTCTCTGCTTCCCGTGACGAGACCATTCGATTATGGCAATTCAACGCGGCGTCACCCCAAAAAGTCTACACCGGACATCGGCTGCCCATTTCGGGGCTTGTGCTGTTTGATGGTACGTGTTTTCTTCCTAAAAGATCTTTGCTAGCTGGCTTCTCTTCGAACTGGTTGTCCTCGTTCCTCAAGCATCTCTGCTAGCCTGCCCTCTGCCATGCGATAATTTTTCTTTCCTCAAATAATCTCTGCTAACCTGCCAACCCCTTTTCTGTTCCCAAATGGACTCTGCTAGCTCACCTTTGTCCCTTTAAACTCTTAGACCCACTTCCAGATGGCAAATTCGTCTCCGGCGGCCGGGATACAACGCTCCGATTGTGGGACGTCGAGAAGGGGAATGTCATCTGCGAGAATCAGATTAATCGAAATCTGGTGGGTATTTGTAAGGATTAGGCCGAGGCATGGGTTTAGTCTCGGAATTAGCTTTCTGGTTTCACGGCCCCTTTAAAGGCCCGTTAAAGGTCACCCACATCGCCTACAATGCGCAAAAGAATTGGCTGGCCCAGTCGTCGGAAGATAAGCACCTGAGGCTGTGGGATCCGAGGAGCATGGAAGTGATTGCATGCTATCCGAGACAACTGCATATTCAGGTCGGTTTTCTCTCTCTCTCTCTCTCTCTCTCTCTCTCTCTCTCTCTCTCTCTCGCTCTCTCTCTCTCTCTCTCTCTCTCTCTAGCCACGCTGTTTCTAGACCTTCTGCGAATTCACCCCCGATGCAAATATGGTGATGACGACCAGTGCCGGCTGGAATGGCGATGGCTGTACGATTACGGTAGGGCAGGCTAGCAGAGATTCTTCAGGAAAGGACAGGCTAGCAGAGATTCTTTAGGAAGGAGCAGACTAGCAGGGATTTTGGGGAAAGAAGGAAAAGGAGGGCTAGCACAAACCCTTTAGGAAGGTACGGCAAGCTAGCAGATATCCTTGAGGACGACGAAACGGTTCCCAGCTTCATAAAGTCCCAAAATTTTCTTAGCTCTGGGACACACGGACCCGAAAAATCTACAAAGAGCTGAGTGGGCACGACGCTACCGTAACCGGCGTCGCGAATTTGCATCAAAACGTCAGCCAGAGGAAGCTGATCGCCAGCGTCAGCCTCGATCGCACCGTGAAAGTGTGGAGTCTGGAGGATGGGGGTACGATAGTTCGACTTTTTTAAAGGGGCCGGCAAGGGTAAAGCGTCGTTTTCGCCGTGTTTTCAGGGGTCGCTATCCCTTTAAAAGTCTGTTCTTTCAGTCTGTCTCTGGACGGAAACAGCGCCGGCTGGTGGTGGATTGTTGGCTTGCGCGAGTTTTTCGGATTCCAGGTAAGGAGCAGAGATTCTTTAGGAAAGGGCAGGCTAGCAGAGATTCTTTAGGAAAGGCAGGCTCGCAGAGATTCTTTAGGAAGGGCAGGCTAGCAGAGAATCTTTAGGAAAGGGCAGGCTAGCAGAGATTCTTTGGGAAAGGGCAGGCTAGCAGAGATTCTTTCAGCCTCGCCGTATCTGGCTGCGACGGTCTCATCGCACACCTCCGACTTCTCGGTCGTGGTGGCCGACCTTTGCTTCACTGCGTCTCCTATCAAACGCGACGCTACGATCCTCAAACTTCGCATACAACAGACTCCTAATTACACCGCTACGTACAACGTATTGCGCCGGAATTTTTAGCCTTTCTCCTTCTTCTCCCGATTTCTCGTTTCGTCCAGTCAAATCATTTTCTACGAGTTTTACGAAATACCGTATTTTTGAGCCTGAGCCTAAGCTTAAGCCTAAAAACAGTCAAATGTTGTAGTTCAAAAAATTCCGCATTTCCGAGACCCATGTCAAAAGCATCATTGTGATTGAAGCCTTTCCCTCTCCAAAAAATATATCACCAAAAATTGCTGCGTCCCTGAGGTTACTGTATCAGTTTTGAAAATGTGATTTCCGGGTTAGTCCATTGTTTAGACAATTCATCACACCTTAAAATGTTCAATAAATATTGGTAAAGTTATTCCTCGTCGGCGGGAAAGTCGGAATCCTGGAAAAATGAGAATTTCCTGGAGATCGAGAGAGAGAGAGAGAGCAAGAGAGAGAGAGAGAGAGGGAGAGAGAGAGAGTGAGAGAGAGAGCTAGAGGGAGAGACAGAGAGATAGAGCGAGAGAGAAAGAGCGAGAGGGAGAGAGAGAGAGAGAGAGAGAGAGAGAGAGAGAGAGAGAGAGAAAGAGAGAGAGAGAGAAATCCACGAGATCAAACCTGCTGATGACGATGCGGCCGCTTCCCCCTGTTCTTCCCATTCTTACCGCTTTCTAAAATTCCTCAAGTCGTCTAAAATTCAAGTCGCTTACTCTTCTGCTTCTTTTCTTTCTTCGGCTCTTCTGTCGTTGGTTCTTCTCCGCTTCCTTCTGCTTCGATATCGTCGTGAGCTTTGGGCTTCTGCTTCTTCGGCTCAGCTTTCTTGCCTAAAAGGAGATTTTTTTACTGACTACGGTATGATGCCCTTTTAAGCTCAAAAATCGAACTTGATGTCCTAGTCCTTTTAAAGCTCCGAAAACCCCACCTTTTCCCTTCTTTTTCTCAACTTTAGAAACTGCCGTAGTTGTCGTGGGTTCTTCGCCACTTCCCTCCACCTCGGTCTGGTCGGAAGCTTTTGGCTTCAGCTTTTTGGGCTCGGTTTTCTTGCCTAGAAACCGATTTTCAGTTGTAACAGCCCCTTTAAGGCTTAAAAATACATCTGAAACTCGCCCTTTCCCTTCTTCTTCTCCACTTTTGAAGCTACGGTGGTTGTCGTGAGTTCTTCTCCGCTTCCCTCCACTTCCGGTTGGTCCTTCCGCTTTTCGATGACCTTTTTTGGAAGCGGCTTCTTGGCTGAAAAATGTATCTCGATTTACTTCCCTTCAAGGGCCCTTTAGAGACGAGAAAAGCATTCATGAAGCTGGACTTACGTTTTTGGACGGCCGTGACTACGGGGATTGGCTTGGCAGTTGCTGAAGTTAAGGTGGTGGGCGGGCGGGTGGACTTGTTTTGCTGGAATTTTTAGGCTTTGGCTTAGCCTTAGGCATAGGGCTTAGGCTTATGCTTAGCTTAGGCTTAGCTTACGCTTACGCTTAGGGTTAGGTTTAGGCTTGTAGACTTACACCTCGGCTATTGCGTATGCTTACGCTAGAGCTTAGGCTAAGGTTAGGCTTAAGTATGGGCTTAGGCTTAGGCTTTGGCTTAGGCTTAAGCTCGAATTCGGCTTACCGGTTGTTCATCAGCCTCCTCCGGCACGACGCACAGCCCCTGCGTACTGTCAAACGACGCCGGCGGGCAGCAAATATTCCCGGGGCACGGTTTAGCGTTGCAGGGCTGCGTTTGGAATCCGGTGGAGCACCTAAAACGCTTTTTTTTGCGGGATTACGGTAGCTTACGCCCGCGTCTGCGTCCCGCACGCGCCGCACGGCTGACTGCATGCGCCCCATCCGGCGCACAAGGCTAGAATTTGATGTGTGACGTACTAACGCTTGACTGATGCCTTTCTGCTTAAGTCTACAGTAAAGCCCACCAATTGGCGCCGTTGGTGCTACGGTGGTCGATGCGTCAGTTTGCTCTCCGGATACGGGATCTAGGCGAAAGTGAAAAATGACAGTTCCGGAGTTACCGTATCGGTAGCTGAGCGTGAACCGGGCCGAGCTGTAGCCCTGGAAGATGACGAGAAGTTGCGAGGTTTGGGTGGTGGCGCCGCCAGGGTAGGTGCGACCGCAGAGTCTGGAGGAAGAGTTTTAAAAGGAGCGTAATTTCAGTTCTCTCTCTCACCCTCTCTCTCTTTATCTCTCTCTCTCTCTGTCTGACTATCTGTCTGTCTCTCCGTGCTTCTCTCGCTTTCCCACGATCTCGCTCTCTCTCTTTCTCTCTCTCTCTCTCTCTCTCTCTCTCTCTCTCTCTTCATCTCTCTCTCACCTAGCGCCAGTATTGCCCAAATTCGCTCCATATTTCAGCTCCAAATACGAGGTGCTGCAGACCTGCTGGTAGGGGAACGAGAGTGAGGTCACTTGGAAGTACACCTTCTTGCCGGGAGGAGCCTGAAAAAGCGGGCAAGCTAGCAGGGAAGATTTAGGAAGGGAATTCCGGACCGGCCAGCTGAGAAATCTAGTATGTACATAAAATCGTTGCGGAGATCCCATGCACCTACCGTAATCAAAAAGTTGCACACGAGCGCTCCGGAAGCTGTAATTTGCTGCAGGCTGGAGGTGGCGGTGAGCTGGCCCTGGGGGCAGCCGGAGTACGAGGTGGCCGGTTGGTCGCAGTATTGGCCTGTGATTAAGGGCTGGGCTGCCAGAGATTCTTTAGGAAAGGGCAGGCTAGCAGAGATCTTTCACGAAAAAAAGGCTAGCAGTGATTCTTTAGAAAACCGACCTCCCAATCCGGTGGGGCATCGACATTGGCTGCAGGCCAGCGGATCGGTGTAGCCGCCATTTTGGCAGGGCAGCTGGGTGGTGCAGGAGGCTAAAGTTAGGCATAGGCTTAGGCTTAGACTTGTGCATAGGCTTAGGCTTAGGCTTCGCTTAGACTTACAAGGGGATGGTCTCAGCTCGGAATCGAATTCGGATTTGAAAATTTGCACACTTATAGAGCTCGACGAGACAAATCGATTGGTGTAACTTTCAGCAGCAGATACCCCGAACTAACAAAGTTATAAGCATTTTTAGTTTTTGCATACATTTTGCAGATTTTTCGCCATACCTTCATAAGCCCTCCCCCTTCCCCCATCAGCGTGGTCTGGTGGTCTAGTGGCGTGGTACGCGGCGTCTGGGGAATCTATCAAGGGTTCGAACCCGCTCGCGATTTTTATTTTTTGCTTTTTGGGCCAAAGATTCCTCTTGGCATTCCAAAGACCTTTAATGGCTTTTTAGGCATTCACCAGGAACCAGGAAGCGTTGCCAACAATAAAGCAGCTTTGCGAAAAATTTAAAATTTGGTGCCTGTGCTCATGCCTCCTCAAAAAATTTTGGGGAAATTTTCAGAAGGCTGGCAATCTGCTTATCAACACTTTATCGTATCCCAAGCTGCATGAAAATAATCAAAATTATTTTCTTTGAACTGATCCTACTATGGTTACCTTGCCTACTTTCAAAATTTCCAAAAAATTTTAGGAGTGGGATTTTTTTGCTGCGAGCGCTTCCTGGTTCCTGGTGAATGCCTAAAAAGCCATTAAAGGTCTTTGGAAGGCCAAGAGGAATCTTTGGACCAAAAAGCAAAAAATAAAAATAGTGAGCGGGTTCGAACCCTCGATAGATTCCCCAGACGCCGCGTACCACGCCACTAGACCACCAGACCACGCTGATGGGGGAAGGGGGAGGGCTTATGAAGGTAGGGGAATAATCTGCAAAATGTATGCAAAAACTAAAAATGCTTATAACTTTGTTAGTTCGGGGTATCTGCTGCTGAAAGTTACACCAATCGATTTGTCTCGTCGAGCTCTATAAGTGTGCAAATTTTCAAATCCGAATTCGATTCCGAGCTGAGACCATCCCCTTGTTAGTCTTCTTCCTTCACCCCACCATTGCAGTAGGCAAAGTTGATCTTCTTCACATCGGCGAAGCCGGCCTGGTTGCGCTGGCCGATCGTGAGTTGGTAATTGGCATCATAGGTCTGGATGGTCATTCCACCATTTTGAGAGAAAGCCTGCAATTTGCGGGCTAGCAGAGGTTTTTTAGGAAAGAACTAGACCTTCAACGGTCCTTTACACCCACGAAAACTCACGAATTGATCGTAGTGCATCACAGATCCGTAGTCGTACGCCACGCCGTAATCGACCATGGTTGATGGGGCCTATAGCAGGTGATTTTAAGAGGGCCGGGAACTCTGACCTGCTTGCTGAACTGCGGGATGTAGATGTTCTGGATGTTCTGGGTGACGATACGGACGTAGGAGTCGCGGTCCGAGCGCGACTGCTCGTGGTAGAAGCCGAGGGCGTGGCCTGGGAGTTTGCGAGTTAAAAAGAGAGAGGAGGGAGAGCTATGGAGTGAGAGCGACGGCGAGAGAGAGAGAGAGAGAGAGGGGAGAGAGAGGCAGAGAAAGTGAAAGAGAGCGAGAGAAACTTACCAATTTCGTGCATAACCGTGCCGAGCGCCTCGCACCCGACTCCAATCGAAACTTGTTGCGCTCCCTGCGCCACCATTCCGATGTACGAGTAGCACCTTAATACGAATTCGAACTCAGCTTTTGATGCTCTTGCAAATGGCGTCTTCAAACTTTACTCGCTCCCCGGAATTTGGCTTCAAAAATTACCCTAAACTCAAAAATTCCGCGCCTACCGGACTCAAAAAAAACTTTTCGTCGTTTTGTAAAAGGATTTTAGAGGGTAAAAGTGCTCTGAAACAGTTTTGCAGCACTCTTTAAAAAAAATAAAAATCGCTTACCCATTGCCCCGGATGAAGATCAGTCCGTTGCCCCTGGGCTGCTGGGTCACCTAAATTTTGTGTTTTCTACCGTAACCCTGAGGCTAACTTGTTGGAAGGTGATGCACGTCAGCTGCTGCCAGCGTTGGATACCTGCTTGGACGGCGGATACGGGGACTGAAAATTATATATTTAGAGAGCGAGAGAAAGAGATAGGGAGAGAGAGCGCGAGACAGATCACTTCGCGATCACATTACCTCCAGGTGTAATGTAGTATTGAATCGGAAATACGCGCCACCGCAACGACAAATCCGAAGTCATGCTCCGTACGAAGCGCATCGTCTCGTTTTTGCGGCGAGCCAGCTCGGTTTCGGCATTTCTGAAAATGGTTTTCTAGAGTTAAATGAGCGGGCAGGCTAGCAGAGATTCTTTGGGAAAGGGCAGGCTAGCAGATATTCTTTAGGAAAGGGTAGGCTAGCAGAGATTCTTTAGGAAAAACCCACTTAATTTGCTGCTGCAGTTGCGACTCGGTGAGAATGATGTCTCCCTCAAAAAGATACGGTAGCTGATCGGGCCTGCCGTTGACCGGCTTCATCGTGTCGGGGTTCTCCTGGGCTTGTTTCACCTAAATTTCAATAAATTCTGGAACTTAGTAAATTCTTGCCATTCTCGAGAACGTCTTCGGTTGCTGCGACTTCGGCGTGAAGGTGTTGTTCTAAAAAGTGACGGTATTTGGCGATCTTACGGTATTCTAGAAGATTTCTTTGTTACGGTGCTGAAGCTAAAAAGCTACGCTCAGCTTACCACGGCCTGATACAGCTCCTGGTAGAGCTCATTGAGCTTTGAGAAATTCTCGAGGTACGACTGCAGGGTGGTCTCGTTGAAGAGCGACTGGCCATTTAGCAGGGCGTCTTCGATGGGGCCCTGAAATAGCATTTTAAAAAATCTTAAAATTCTGCATCTAAAAAATTATATTGTCCTCAAGAATCTTTGCTAGCTTGCCGCCTTGAGCTTCCCAAAGAATCTCTGCCAGCATGCCGTTTCCTGGAGAATCTCTGCTAGCCTGCCTGATCCGGTTGTCCCAGGGCAAAGAGCAATAGGATCCCGTCGGGGTGTTGGGATAGATCCCGCGCCTAAGCCTAAGCCTAAGCTAAGCCGAAGCCTATGTCTATGATCATGCCTAAGCCAAGGATAAGCCTAAGCCTAACCTCAAGGCAAGCCTAAGCCGATGCCTAAGCCTAAGAAGTCAAGAACTAAGCTTAAGCTAAACCTAGCTTTTTCCTAAGCCGAAGCCCAAGCCTAAGCCATCCCCTTGAACCCACCGCAACAACAGACACCGCTGCCCCACATAGCAGGGCAAACGGGAGCAGCGCCACCATTGTGTATGGTATCCAAGTGTGTCTGGCTCGCGCTGATGATAGGATAGAAATGGAATAATGAGCCGACTGATACCCCGAGGGCGCTTTTATCATAAATAGAGATCCCACCCCCTGTCTAATCATTATCCCGACACCCGGGATATTATTGTTTTCGCGTTTAGCCGGATCAGGGAGATCAACGAACCGGGGGCTGGGGTATGCTAGCAGAGATTCTTGAGGAGGGAAGACTAGCCGAGGTTCTTTAGGAAATGACAAGCTAGCAGAGATTCTTTAGGAAAGGGCAGGCTAGCCGAGATTCTTTAGGAAAGGGCTACCTGGCGGTGGTGTTTTGTGAAGCTGAAGGAAGCCTAATTATTCTGATTACCGGAAAATAAGTAAAGGGCAAGCTAGCAGAGATTCCAGAGGAAAGGCAAGAAAGACAAAAAGAAAAGCAAGGGAGACTTTTGTTGATCATTGGATTCTAGGCATACTAGCAGAGATCATTTGGGAATTCAAGAGTCAGCCGCTCCATGTACAATTCCAGAACTCGGGCAGGCTTGCAGAGATTCCTTGGGAACTGCAAAGTCGGGCATCTTTTGAATTGCTCGATTCCCTGGGCTATTTCTGGCGTCTCAGGGCAGGCTAGCAGAGACCCTGCCAGCCCAGAATCCAATCCTCAGCATCGAGATCTCGGGGCAAGGATCAGAGCACCCGGAGCATCGAAACACCAGAACAGCCGATGATATCTGCACCAATTTCGGGCTCTCGCACACCAATTCCCAATCACCACCCTTTATTCCAGTGCACCAGCACCCAAAATTCACAAAACTACATTTTTTTTTTGTTCACTACTATTGCGCAAAATCCACAAAGTAAGATTACAGAAAAAGCACTAGGTTATCACAAAGGAATGTATTTCGGCACCACCGTCACAACCAGGGGAAATCACAAAAGTTAAATTAAGTTAACTGGAGAAATGGCAAGAAAGAAATCAAAACTACAAGCTATCAAAAACGAAATAAAAAGCTGATAAATAAAAATCTTATTTGCCCTTGCGGAGGAGCACCGCCATCGCCTCGCCGCCGCCGTTGCAGATGGCCGCCACGCCGAGCTGTCCGGGCTTCAGCGAGTGGGCCAGGGAAACGGTGATCCGCAGGCCGGACATGCTGAAAAAGGGCAAGGGGATTCGGGAATTTTAGATTCATTACTACTCGAATCCGGCAAGAACAGGAGAAGCTAGATTCTTAAGTTTTAAGCGTAACAGGATGTTAGCGAGGGAAAGATAATTTTTAGCAAGAGACCCTAATTTTTTCGCCTATACGTATCTGTTAATAATCCCTAATGAATTTTTATAGTGTTTTGGTCGTTTTTTGATTTCTAGAAAGTTATAAAACAATGTTTTAAAAACGGAACCTTTATTGTCATTTTCACTAGATGCTAAAAAATGAAGGGTTTTTATACCCAAAAAAAGTGTAAAACGCTACCAAAATATTTGAAATTGCCTTAATTACTGGGGCAAAATTGGATTCCACCGTTAACAGTCCAGTACCATTTGAAGTTCTTCTTTACGCAAAAAAAAGAAGCTGTAAACGTTGAAAAGCTAACCCAAGTGGATGCCCAAGCGCCACGGCTCCACCCTTGATATTGACGAGCTCGGGGTTGACGCTGAGAGCCTAAAAATGCATAGTGATCATCTTGAAATTCAAATTACCTTGATAAAGGCGAGTGCCGTCGTCGAGAAAGCTTCATTGACTTCCCAGGTGGCAATGTCGGCGGCGTGGATATTGTGCGTCGCGAGCAACTAAATGACAAGTTTGCAAAAACGAATTATCATATACCTTTCGCACGGCGTTAACCGGAGCCAATGTGAAGTCGATAGGGTCCATGCCGGCTTCTGCGAAGCCCAGAATTTCAGCGAGAATCGGGCCCTGAATTTGACTTTTTTAAATTTTCAGGGTAAAACCTCGGCTTTTCCAATCACTACGGCCGCGACAGCCCCATCGTTCAGCGAGGACGCGTTTGCGGCGGTGATGGTGCCGCCGTCCTTCTTGAAAGCTGCCGGAAGTGACGAGACCTTGCTTTCGACCAATTTCTTGTATTCCTCGTCCTCGGCCACGACGATAGGGTCGCCTCGCCGCTGCGGGACGGCCACTGGGATCACCTCGTCTCGGAAGCATCCATTCTAAAATCATTTTTGCTTCGGACGAGCTTAGCTTAGGAGTTGCGTACTGGATTAACAACGAAAAACCCACCAAATGGCCCTAAAACAGCCCGAAAAAATTTTTCCCTGCCCAACATGAATCGTCCTGATTTTTTTGAACCCTAAAATATGTACCTTCCAAGCCGCGGCCGCCTTCTTGTAGCTTTGAATCGCGTAGGCGTCGCTTTCTTCGCGCGTGATTTTGTATTCCTAAATCAAAAGTAAGCCTTTTTAACGTCAAATCGTACTGTTGCCGTTTTCTCGGCGCATAAACCCATCGATTTCTTTTCGATCGCGTCTTCAAGCCCGTCGCGAACGATACCATCCTAAAACATCATAAAAATCAGGATCTTTTTGCTAACCACTAGCGTCAATCCTCCGTACGGCGTATCCCCTCGCGCCATGTAGAACGGGACTTGGCTCATGCACTCGGTGCCGACGACCAGGCATTTTTCGCGGTATCCCGTCTGGAAAGCATCCAAGTTAGTAGAAAAAAAAGACATTTATCTACCTGAATAGACATGCATGCCATCTGCAGCGCCTTCATCGACGAAGAGCAGACTTTGTTGACCGTTACAGCTTGGGCGTCTTTCGGGATTCCTGAAAATGAAAGTTGATTGTGAAAAACTGCATCTTACCTGACGCTAGCGCGATTTGCCTGCCAACATTTTGGCCGCCGTTCGCCGTCAGCACCGATCCGACGAATGTTTCTTCGATTTCTGTGGCCGCCAGAGCTGAACAAGACTAAGGAGAAGCCGCAAAAAACCCACTAGCGCTCAGTATCGCCTCTTTCGCCACCATCGAGCCGAGTTGGACGGGCGACAGGGTGGCAAACGAGCCGCGGAACGAGCCGATCGGGGTTCGGACCCCAGAGGCCAGGTAGGCTATCGGCTTGCAATCCATGCGCTTCTAAAAACGCAGAAGCTTCCTTGAACCCATCTTTCGACCCACTCTTCATACAATCATTTAAAAATCAAAAAGAACCGCCGTGATAATTTTATCAGTTGATTTGTGAGCATCTACAAGTTTGAGGAATCAAATCTTTATTATACAACTATTAGTCAAAAACGAAAGTACTTAACACACGCACACAACCGGTATAGACACTCAAGGGGGGAGACTGAAGAATCTAATGAGCTAAACTATTTTGTGGTATGATGCGGGGAGAAGCAGATTTAAACATTTGCCAAGAAAAAAGCGAAAGAAACACACAAAATGAGCACCTAATCGACCAAAAACCTTTTTAGATCATTTGGATGACCATGCCGGAGGAGCCGCCGCCGCCGTTGCAGATCGCGGCAAAGCCCTTTTGGTCGGACTTGAGGGCGTGCGTCATGTGGACGATCAGCCGGGCTCCAGACATTCTAAGAAAGCAAAAAGCATAAAAATACGCGAAATAACGCTAACCCAATTGGATGACCAAGCGAGACGGCGCCACCATGCGGGTTTACCTGTAAATGAAGAGCGTAAACAAAAAATGTGACGAAAAATTACCTTGGCAGGGTCTAGTCCGAGTTCCTTGATGAAGGCGAGCACCACGACGGAGAAGGCTTCATTAACCTAAGGGCTATTTTATGGTTTTTAAGGTCGCGGTACCTCCCAGTGGTCGATGTCGTTCAGCGAGAGCCCTGCATTCTTCAGCAGCTAAAAACACAGGTTAAATCGCAAAATTCAAAATTACTTTTGGGACGAGAAGTGGTGGGGCGATGGCAAAATCGAGGGGATCGCGAGCCGCGTCGCCGTAGGAAAGGATCTAAAAAGAAACTAAGAAGCAGCTTTTGAAAATACCTTGGCTAGCGGCTTCAGATTGTGCTTCTTCAGGGCGTCCTCTGAGACGATGACCACCGAAGCGGCGCCATCATTGAGCGTGGAGGCATTGGCGGCAGTGATAGTGCCGTCTAAAAAATCATTAGGACATTTCGACGTTACACAAACCTTTCTGGAAGACTGTACGCAGGCCCTTAAACTTGTCAAAGTTGACCTTGCTGAACTCTTCGTCCTTGTCGACGACAACGGTGCCCTTTTTGCCCTTGATTTCGACGGGGACGACTTCGGAGGAGATGCTGCCGTTCTAGAAACCCAAATTCCAAGGAGAAGACACGGATTTCAAACCTTCCAAGCCTCGGCGCTCTTCTTGTAGCTGCCAATGGCGTAGTCGTCTTGATCCTCACGCGTGATTTGACGTTCCCTAAACAAAAATGTAAACATATATTTGAAGAACGCGTACTTTGACGTCTTCTCGCCGCAGTTGCCCATGTGGCAGTGGTTGTACGCGTCCGTCAGCCCGTCTTTCACAATACCGTCCTAGATCGATGATATGAAAAAATACAGCGAAACCCACAATCATTTGCAGCCCTCCGTAGGGGATTTCGCCTCGTGGCACGTAGTAGGGGACCAGCGACATGCTCTCCATTCCGCCGGCGACAACAACCTGCAAAAAAACAGGCATTTCGGTGCTTTTCTGAGACAAACAGAACCGAACCTAAAAAACTCACATCCTGGTGGCCGGTCTGAATCTGTTGGGCGCCGAGGATGATCGCTTTCAGCCCGGAGGAGCAGACCTTGTTAACAGTCGTCACGGCCGTCGATTTCTCAAGTCCTAAAAAGGGAATAAATCCATTTTTGATCCCTCACCAGCGCCAAGTGTCGCTTGCCTGGCCGGGGCTTGTCCGACGTTCGCTTGGCAAACCTAAAAAACGAAATTTTAGGAAACCAGATCCAAACCTGGCCGAGGAAAACCTCTTGCACTGCGCTAGCGGGCAGCTTGGCGTGCTGCAGAGCTCCCTGAAATTTGATTATTTTGCAAAAAAAAAGTGTTTCCAGTACCTTGATAGCGACGGCACCAAGCTGAGGAGCAGGGACGGACGCGAGGCTCGAGCGGAAGGAGCCGATCGGCGTTCGGGCGGCGCCGACGATGTAGGCTACCTAAAAATATTAGTATTCTAATAAAAACACATTAACACCTTATTCCTCGCAGCGGCGCTCTGCGATAGCGCACGGAGCTGCATGCCACCGGCTGGCATCCTGAAAATAAGCTATTATAAAGTGCAAGGAGAACAAGAAGGAGCCAATCGAGAAAATGTGAAATAGGGTCGATTTCGGAGGTTGTTTCCGCAAACGTTCTTTGGAGTCGACCATGCGGGTGGCACTCTCGATGAGATAGTGGGGAAAGTGACTAGGGCGCAGAGGGCGAGCCGGAAAAAAGCTTTCGGAAAAGTCAACCCCCGAAACTGCACGGAAAAAGCAAAGAATGGAAAAAAAATGAACGAATATATCGAATGAGCAGGTTGTATAACGAAACTATAATTCATGCCTAATCCGTGAAAATAAAGTGTGGAAAGAAAATAAATCTATGAAGATCCGGTGGTATCTAATTAAACCGACTTGCGCTTGGTTCTGAAAATTCCGTAAGAGGTATAAAGTCATCAAGATTTAAAAAATCAAATTAAAAATTGCAGTGCCAAAATCGATATGCAAAAGATGGCGGCAAAGGAAAGTCTCGCCCTAGTTCCCGCAGCTCCCAAATGCCCGTAGGTCATTCAATGACCGTTATTGTCATAAATTTTACAGCCACGTCAGCTTAGAATTATCTATTTACCTAAACCCCATTTCAGCCGTGGTAATCGCCTATCGTCACTGCAATAAAGAAACATGGCCTCCACACGGACGCGACTCGTTTTGTCTATTCCCGATGGCGCGAGAAGGCGACCATTCTGCCTGGGAATGCCGCGCGTGTCGCATCCAAAAGGATACCCCTTGGAGAACGAAATAATTTATTTTTTTCGTGTTTTCGGGCCAAATGACTTTAAATTTGTTGATGAGCTTTAATAAACCTTTCACATGGTTTTATGCCTTTGGCGGTTGATCATATTAAATCGTTTGTTGCCGGTATATCTGAACGAAATCATGGAAATTACGCAAAGCATTAATGAAGAGAATGCGAGCAGAGGTTAATGCCGCTATCCATGACCATAGTTGGCGGCAAAGGGTCGACCTGTCCCTCTAATTGTAACTACGCATCACAACGCTAAGCGGCGATCTAGTATTTTAGTTGCTAGAGGCATATACCGTATTTCCTCTAAAAAGTTTTGCGTGACGTTGCTATTTAAAAAGATTTTAAGCTGCCATCAGCGGGAAATTTTTTTTTTGTCAAAATCCGTTCATTTTACCCACCGTTTTTCGAGATTTCAGTCGAGAAGAAAAATATAGGTCCACCTTTACTGGGCGCAAAGCACGTCAATTTGATCAATGAACCGCCGTTTCGTGTGGGAAGCATCGAGGGACGCGTCATCACGAAGCGGAATTCTGGACCAAGAACCAGTACAGCCATTTGGTAAGCGGATCCCAAAATTCTGGGCTGGTACCCAGATCAAAATTACACGTGTAAAAACAGCCAAAAATTTACACGCGTGGTAAAATTTCAGGCGTGTAATTTTGATCTGGGTACCAGCTCTGAATCGACATGCTGCGTTTTTTGGGACTGACGTCAACAGCGGTTGTGACCTCTAGAATTGTTCTAGATTTCAAGATATTTTTGAGCTTGAAGCCTCCGTTCAGATCCTCAGCTATGCCGTATTGGCCATTTCCCATTCAATCGACTCAACCAGCAACAAATGGAGCTGGTGTTCGCCCATCACGGGTTTCTGAATCGACTGCAGTTATTGCGCGTGAACCGACAGATGAGGTAGGGCGATGAAGGCTGTGTGGCAGTACATAGCGGTTAATTGTGACAAACGAACTTCCATAGAGTCCATCGTTCGTTCAGGCAGACGATCATCGTTGCTGGGCCATTCCCCTCCTACGTCGTACAGCTCGGTATCATGGCAACATGTCGACATAACTATTACGGGGTATGCTCGTCTTATTCGCATTAGGTTCTTTCCCATTATCGGGGGGGGTGCACTTTTCCTAAGGATCCAATTTCTCTAATATGATGAAGAGTTAGCCGTTTTTTTGCCATACCTAAATGTAAAAATTTTTCAAATTTTGATTAACAAATACAAAAAATGTGATTTTTTTCGTCCGAAATTTCAACTAAAAGTTTTTATTATGTTTTTTTTCTCCACTTAAAATATAATGACATTTTACTGAAAACACCAGCAAGGCACTAACAATTACGTTGTTAGGTGTTCCTTGACTTCTAGGAAAAAAGTTGTTTCTCCCCCGATATTGCGAAAGCCCCTCGCGAGTTCTATCATTATCATTGTTATCGTTACTGTAATTAGAATTACCTTTCGTAAGCGTAGTAACGTAATTTGTAGTGCCTATACAGTGTTTTTTGGCTAAACTTCAAATACGATTAAAAACTTGCCCGGTTTCGGGTTGCAATCTGGGAGTTGCAAGAAAAAAATTCTGTCACGCCCCTTCGGATGCGAAGGTATCCTTTCCAGGCTCAAAGACGCGAGCTCATTTTCTGGGTGGAAGATCGGGACGCTCACACATTCTACGTCAGCGATTTTGAGAACACGATGGTGTTGGCATGTCAAGCACCGATCCCCGAGGGGTTTGGCAGGCTTCCAGTTAGGCATGTAAAGACATTTGCAGTTTTCGTGAGCCGGATGTGATAAGCTCCAGGGGCGCTGCGGTACAGGAATATTATGCCACTGGATGTTACTTTCCGTTGAGCAAGCCACCACATCGCGGAACAATGTCCTTGATTAGGTAGATAGAGTTAGAAGCGAAAAATTCAAAGATGCAGGAAATTCCCAAGGCCATCGACGCTTTTTTCGCAATTCCAAGGCCCGGTCAACCGAATCACCACGTCACGCCAGTTGTTTTTTGCAGTGGAAAAAATGATAACGGTGAGTCTTGCAAATTAATTCATCGTGGTTGCCTGTGATCTTTAGGTCAGCGGGGGTCCGACACCATGGGCTTGCAGAAAGTTTCGAGACACACCCGGGGACAGGGCACCCGACCCTCAGGTAAGGTAAACGAAAATTTTCTCAACCCAAGCCTAACTTTTTTTAGATAGAGCGTGCGGTTTTTTAATTGTTTTTAACTATTCTTAAGCATGGAAACTATACAAATTTTCGTGCTTCCAGGTTAACGGGGGACGGTTATTTTAGCGGGGGGGCGGTTGCCAACTTTTCTTTGTTTAGCCTAGGCCTGCCTGGTGATAAATTGGATTTACATTCATTTCGCCGAATTTTCATATCGCCGAATTTTCATTGCGCCGAATTTACATTTCGCCGAATTTTCATATGGCCGAATTTTTATTTCGCCGAATGTCTATTCATTATAACGTTATTAGTAATATTCATGCAAATTATAATATGCAAAGTGCCCGTGTATCAAAGGGTCCCGCAGAGAGGCCAGGGTTGAAAAGTCGCGAAGCGGCTTTTCAACCCTGGTTTCTTGATTAAAAATCAACCGTAAACGTTTCGCAGAAATGGACAATGGCATCTTGCTCAGTTTTTCAAGCGCTTTCGAGGCAACTAGACTTCGTCCTGAAACTCCATTTTCACCTATAAACGTCCCCTTGTGAGCAATCCTGGATTTTTCGACCCCCCCCCCCCTCCCCATATGTATATAATGCGGAAGCAATGCCTGCTCTGAGCTATCCTTAGCTCTCCGGATCTACGATTGCTTTTTAGGTTTTCCCCTGGGTATCCGGGGCGCTGCGCAACGTCGATGAGATGGTGGTTTATCTCAACGATTGCGTCACAATTGTCGAACTGCAGCGGATACTTCATGCCTCTGGGCGGAAGTCGACATTTGCTCGTGTAAGCAGCAGCCTAGCTCTCAAAAATGTCTGTTTCAGCCTATACTTCTGAATGAAAAACAGGCCGACGATGCGAGGGTAAGTGATCATTCAAGGGCACCTCGGGTTTACAGGGTTTATTGGCCCCCGAAGCTCTGCGAGCGACAAATATGGACCATGGAACGAATTCAGATTGAAGACGAGACCCGATTGAAGCGTCTGGAAAAAAACTTACAAGTCCTCGAAGAAATCGCACTGCGTGAACCAAGGGATCGTCAACCGGAGCTAGTCATTTGCTGCCTGGAAATGGAACGCTATTGGCGGTGTAGCCTTCCTCCATCACCCCAACTCGCCGAAATTCTACAAGTCAGGATCGGTTTCGGGGATGCGGGAGGGATTCTTTAGTATTCGTGGGGGGGGGGGGGAGGGACGGACACACTTTTTCTTTTCCAAAAATTCGGCATAACGAAATTCGGTATAGTGAAAATTCGGTATAGTGAAATTTCTACATAGCGGAAATCGGCACAGCGTCAATCGGCATAGCAAAATTCGGCATAGCGAATGGAACTCCTGGGCAGCGCGGCGATTCGGATTTTTCGACGGCTCCGCAAGTATACCAAATGACGTCCAATGGTTTTGAAACTTTGCAATTCGCTGCCCCCAGGGCTTTACTTCCGGGTGTAGAAAAATCAGAATTTTACCTTCTAAACCCGCAAAATCCTGAGACCACCGCCGGTCAAAAGTGCTGGGCCCGTCAGTGCGGCGGTGGTCTCGAGAAATTTTTGTTTGCGACGTAAATTATTTTTGCAAGTGAGATTTGGAAACTACATATCTCTGAGAAAATTTGGACGAGATCGGTTCGTTGTCACTATTTTTAAAGGGGCCAGGAGGGGTACAGGAGTTACAGCAGTCGCCGTCTTTCTCCCTCCCCGTCTTGTTCCAAATACCTGGTCCCCCCGAAAGCTCAAATTTATCCTTTTTGCAAAGCTTTGCTCCATCAAAACATAAATAAAAATGGGTAAAGGAAAATAGTGTCGAAAATCTTCTTTGCGCAAATGCCGATTTCTTACCTAGTAAACGATTTTTTTAGCTCCCGCCTGCCATTTAACAAAAATAAGATATTATAGAAACAATCGTAGAAAAAAATTGCGTTTCACTAGCCCTTACTGTTAGACCACCGCCGAGGCCTATTTTGGACCACCGCCAGGGCCGGGATTGCCCAACCCCTTCGAGCCCTCCGAGCCTTCAACTCCTCAGGGGAGGGATCCGAAGGACCCGAGCTATTGGAAAGTCAAATTTCTTTTTTTTTTAAGTCAGAAGTCA